GGGGGGGGTCATTACAGTCAGTATTGCGGTAATTTATGCAGGGATCCCAAAGCTCACATTTGGGCATTTTTTTGCGTGACTGCATTTGCAGTTGCACAGACCATAAGAGGATTATCAACATGACATACCCAGTGAGTCTTGATTTTAGGCATGTGCACACATCGGCACATGTACCTAATGTGAAAATCAGTATGAGCTCGGGTGATTTTTTTTTTTTTTTAAAACTCATTGCACATGACTCGTGACAGACAAGCAAGTATCATAAGGAGTAATTAATGACCAGAGAAAAATGAAAAAGGAATCAGATTTGAGACACACAGGGGCCTGAAAACAGGCACAAGCGGTGGGGATAGAAATGGAGGAGTCAAGTCTGTAAATCTAAAACTGTCGCCTCCCACCTACTGAAATCCTCAATGGAATTAACTTAAGTGTCTGACAGAGCAATAAATTCCTTTTCCCATTTCCTTTTACTCCTTATGCTCACTGGAGTGAAATTGTTTGGTCCAAAGTAAAAGGCTGCAATTTTTGTCTGCACTCAACTACTGCTTCTCGGCCTGACTTGGATATGACAGTTGTTCTTTTCGGACCCTGAGAACGCGATTTCGTAATCAAAACATGTCTGTCTTTCAGTGAGCCCAAAAAAATTCAAAGATAATGATTATTTGCTAAAAACAATGAAGTTGATCAATTTGAACATGAATTATTTATATTTATTTATCCGCTATCTTTTGTTCATTTCTATGCAAACGTTCGGTGTCCTTGAGAACTGAAAGATAATTTTTAATTACTTTTGCTCAAAGATCACAGGTATAAACAATACTATCCTTTAGCACGATAGTTTCTTGGTAAATGCTGTATATCGTCCAGAAAAAAAAAAAAATTATTGTGAAAGGCCTACCAAAAAATAAGGTAAATACAGAACACTGACTAAAATGAAAGATCCATTATGAAGCTGGTCAGCTTCTCAACCACCAGGCTTCGGTAACGTTTCTGGGGGAAACCCAGTATATTGTAACATTGGAAATATGCCACTAGATCGATGAAACGAAAGCAGGAAGGACTTCTGAGAATGAAAACGCAAACATGAATGTGAAAGTAAATAGGAAGGATTTTAACGTTCTGTTGACCTCTTGGTCCCACAGAGAGTCTTGATATTGTCCCACATTGAGTTACTGGAAATGTCCCGCCAGAAAGAGCTCATGTGGGACTACATTACCCATGTTTCTTCGACACAGTAGCAGGAAGTAGTCCGGGTTCCGGTGTGAAGAAAATATACAGATGGCTGCTAGCGATGAAATGAGAATAACCATGCAAATGTAAGAGGAAGGAATTTGAATAAAAGACGACAAACCAAGAGAGCCGACATTCATCCATTCATTTGGCGCAATGCATTACAAGGCACACTGTGAATTTTTGACAACATTTTGTGATTTTCAGTACGCCTCATGGTCTGAAAAATACAATAAAACCGCCCTGCCTTGCTTTACTTTTATACCACAAAGTGGTTATTAGAAGATTTTAATGACATATCTTCCTTGAACTCTAAACTAGTTAAAATAATTTCTGAAGACAAAATGTCCACCTTAGCGCGTCAACCTCACAGTGCAGTTCAATTCCTGCTCCGGCCTCCCTGTGTGGAGTTTGCATGTTCTCCCCGGGCCTGCGTGGCTTTTCTCCGGGTACTCCGGTTTC